CCGATACGTAACCACTACGCTACCATTACTCTACAGAGCTCTTTAACCCAGTTACTTTGGGAATAATATTAAGGAAAAATAACACTACCCACCAAGAAGGCTTTTTATGCCAAATAATTAGAACTGACATCAAAGATGGAAAAAAAAAGAGAAAATGACTCTAGGGATTAAATAGACTAGCAACTCAGGTGCGATTCAGCCCAATGGGATCTCTGGGAGTGGTCAAGATCATTCGCTCTTATATGAGGGAAAAATTAACCACTGCAACTTTCATCACTACAGTTACAGAAAACAGGACAGGAGAAATGAACACTGCTCCACAAGTTTTTACAATCCTACTACCCAGCCTTGGCTACAATCAGAAATGCTATTCAGTCTTCTGGAAAACAAGTTTTTGGAAAGTGTTTTTAATCAAAATGAAAAATATCTGAGGGAAGAATGTAACAGAAATAGAACTAAAATAAAACTAAGAGAGCTAGTGTAAAAGTTACCTTCAGCCTCTACAGTAACGTCAGGGCGTGGGTCTTAGCTGGCGCTGTAGCCTTTGCCTGAAATTAAATTCTATCACACTTAATGTTTCACCTCTGATGTACAAGTTTTGATTCATGTTGTTAGGATATTCAAAATGATAGCAGGTACAAGTTGGGGCCTTCGGTTAGACTCAATTTCAAGCTGTTTTCACTACTAACAAAATACAGGAAAATATGTCCCCAAAAGGGGGAAGGAGGGAAAAGAAGAGGTAAAAACGGGAAAAGCTAGACAAATTCTTTGCAGATACCAATTATAAGGTGCCAGTCAGCAGGAATCTCAAGGAACCTAAATGATGTTGCTTAATCTTTATGCTCCAAATATTACCTTTTGTCTAAAACAGGCAAATTAAATAGGAAAATTGTACCCTGCTATTTCTTTCTTTTTTTTTTTAATTACAACTGTGGCTTATACATTTGAAAAATTTATGTTTGCTTATAAAGGAAGTTGCTGTTAATTGCTGTCGAGTCGATTCTGACTAATAGTGACCCTGTATAGCGTTTCCAAGGAGTAGCTGGTGAGCTTGAACCACCGACCTTGAAGTTCAAACAACTTTGCAGTTTGATACATTAGTCCACAGCACCACATTAGGACGAAGGAAGACACATACACAAATCAAAACAGCTATTTTATGATGATAGGATTCAGTGCACTTTCGTTCAGGGATCAAAATCCAGTGAGATCTAGCTGAGGTAATGAAGGATGCGATGGCGCATCAGAAAGGTAGATACTACAGAGGCTCACAAAAACCCAGAGTAGAATTCCAGACTCAAGATTGCATCTTTTCAAGCCCACCATCAGAAAAATATGCACCTTTTTTTCTGGCTTCAATCTGAGAGCCCCCAAAGATACTGTCTGGTTACCAGCCACCCCCTTGGACCAATCTCTGTGACCAAAGGGCAAGATCTTATCAGAGAAGATGTGGGGAATGGGGGAGAGGGATAACACAGGGATAATCCTAATAAGAGGGTGTCAAAACTGCCCTGTGGGAATACAATAAAGCCCAGTGAGTTAATTCAGGTGTTTAAGAGCTGTGCAGCAGCTACTTGGATGGTAAAGAATTCCCCGCCAACAGACACCAAAAGATAGTTGTCTTTATCCTATAGACAGGAGAGATTTTACAGCTGGGGCTGGGGTGGACGGGCAGAGGAAGAGTGGGACAGGATGGTGGATCTGTTTTATTTTATTAAAGGATGGGAAAACAAGAGCCACATGAAACCTGGCCGGGAACAGAAAAATTATTATAACACCAATTTCTTTTAGAATGGGAAATTACTTAAGCTTGTTGGAATAGTCACGTTGATCGATCACAGGAGGGGCTGAAATAAGGTGAAGAAGGGAAAAAATAAAAAGGACCTTTATATCAAACTTGAATGAAAATTTTTCTTTTCTTTTGTTTTCTTTTTTCCTAATACCATGCACAGCCATAACACTCAAGCAATTTTAACAAGTTGCAAATATGGAGCTGAATTTAATACATTTTAAATGGCAAAATAAATATCATCTGACAATTATCACAAGAGAAGCTTAATAGAAAGAAATTCCATTGCACTAAGTAATGTTCAAAGCTGCAAAGCTTATTTTAACTCAGTATTTATATCAAATAATCACCCATTATCAACATTCCAAACAGGTTTCCTAACAATCCAAAGTATTTCTCCCAAATGAATTTCATCTTTTCAGTTCCTTTCCAGGGTTCTGAATTCTTTGACTTAGCTTCAGCCTATAAATAGAGCATTTGGTAATTTGTTTCAACTATGTCCCTATCTCCTTCTCTTCCTTACACAGGGATACAGCCACACACATACACACACAAGATTCTAAAAGGACACATGCATTCACTCACTCTTCAGCCTTCTCTAAGGTATTCCTTGATTTAAACAAGCATTGGTCTTAGATGATATAAATGATTACCTACCTGCATATTCATAGAACCACTCTAAGCATCGCTTACTTGAAAAGGCTTCTTCTTCAGTCTTTATTCTAGTTGAATCATATTTTCTAAACATGCTAGAAATTGAGAAAGCAGTTTTAAGTTACTTAAAATACAAAGACGAAGTAGCAGATAATCTTTACTCTTTTACCCAAAGTGGACATCTATTCCATCAGCATTTTAAGTATATTTTAAACATTTTGCTTCCTGCATTTAGAAGTCTCAGCTTTTATAACTACAGTGTTTAAACACAGTCACACCTAATGAAGAATTAAAGGGTAATAAGTAATTAACAGAATAATCAGTATGAAGTGAGTACAGCATGTAGTTGAAGTCTCCCCTTCTAGTTCACTAGACAGAACAAATTACAGAATGACAGTGAAAGGGGCCAGAGATGTTGAGACGTGTCATCTCCAATTGATGGCTCTAGACATTGCTCATGTCTCTCCATTAAGTTCTCCTGGCTTTTGTGTCTTATGTGTCAGGGTGAAACACAGAGCACAGTCTAAGGAAGGACTTATCAATAGCGGAGAACTCAGGGGGACACTAAGCAAAAATAAAAAGACACATCAAATCATGTCCAAATGACCAGGTAAAAATTTAAGGCTGAGGCGATACAGTCCTTTGGATGGTTTCTTGATTAGTGTAACCTTACAATCCTCAGGAACGATCAGAACAGTCCTGACTTCTGCCGTTCTCTTTTCATTCCAGCATGAGCCGGAGGAGGAACCCAGGAAGCACCTCCATCCACCTCCTCCTGCAATGCTGATCTTCCACAGGGCTTCCATATTTCATGAGAACCGGGCTGAGGACCAACCAACACATAAGGGGGTTTCAAAAAGTTTGGGGGAAAATCCCACTATCTTTTCAATCCAGTTTTTCCACACACTTTTTGAAGCTCTCCCTCATATTTCCTACACGGGAGGAGCATAGAGACACTATCTTTAAAATGATAAGGATATAAAAATTATGAGTGTACATATTAAAAGGAGCCGCAGTGACACAGTGGAATACCTGCTTGGGCTGTTAAGCAAAAGGTAGGTGTTTGGAACTAGCCAGCTGCGTTAAGATGAGGCCGTCTTCTATCACAAATCCCAAAGACTGACACTCAGCAACCTTATGAAGAAGTTCTACTCTGTTCTATGTTGCTGTTGTTAAGTGCCATCACGTTGGTTCCGACTCATACAGACCCTGTATAGGGTTTTTGAGGAGCGAGTGGTGAGCTTGAACTGCCAACCCTGCAGTTCAAACTGACTTTACAGTCCAGCGCATTAATCCACAGAGCCACACCAGGGCTCCACTCTGTCCTACAGGGTTGCTATAAATCGGAAACAGCAGCAGATATGGGTTTTTGGTTACACACATTTTATATTTTTTACTTATATATAGGAGTCCTGGTGTGGTGCTGTGGATTAATGCACTGGACTGCAAAGTCAGTTTGAACCACAAGGTCGGAGGTTCAAGCTCACCAGCCACTCCTCGGAATCCCTATACAGGGTTGCTATGGGTCAGAAATGACTCGGTGGCACACCACCACCACTAACCTAAAGGTTGGCAGTTCAAATCCACCTCGTGCCACTATGAAAGCAAGGTCTGGTGATCTGCTTCAATAAAGATCACGTCCAAGAAACCCCTCTGGAGCCATTCATTTCTACTCTTAACACATGGAGCCGCCATGAACCAGAATCCATTTATGACAATGGGTTTGGGTGGGTTATTTATATACAAGGGTAAGGAAAAAAATATTGGTACAAAATCAATAGAAACTTTTATTAAACAAAAATATTAAACTGTGAAGTTATTGTTCTTCGACATCTCCTCCATCTCGGTCCATACACTTCTGAAGGCAGTGTTTCCACCTCGCCAACCCTGCCCTGAAGAATTCTGAGCTCTTCTATTTATGCCACAATCAAAACTGCAGTTTTGGCATCCAGAAGAGACACAAATCATGGTCCTTCTAAATGCTTTTTGAGTTTGAGGGGAAAAAAACATCACAAAGGGCAAGATCAGGGCTGTCTGGTAGATGGGGTAAGGTTTCTCAGTGAAATTCTCATAGGACAGCTTTTCTACCCTCAAAGACTGACCAGGTACATCATCAAGATAGGAAAACATTGTCAGTGCAACTGGCCTTTTCCACACCAACGCAGTTCTGTTTTCTTAAAACTTCTTTGTAATAGCCCCCATTATCACACTACAACCTTCAAGAAAATTTGAAAATACAGTCACCATAACATTTTGAGTGGAGCTCTCTGTCTTGAACTGAACAAGCCGAGCAGCTTTCCCCAGAGGCCCACTGCTCTGCTTGGAACTGGCTAATAATAACAGTTCCACAAAATTTTCTTCATTAGCTTCAATCTTGCCTAAAAGACTAACAGAAAGATCTTGCTGAGGCCAAGATACTTGCTTAAAACTGAAAATGCAAACTATGTGATATCCCAATGTCCATAAGCCGTTGCACACAATGGGAACTCTATTGGCTTTTTCCACCAGTTTCTGGACTTCAGCCACATTTCTTCATTTGTTGAGGCTGATAAAGTCTTTCCTCTCTTGGCTCATCTTTAAAGTCTTCCAAAACATCTTTATAATATATTGGTACATCTAAAAGCCATTGCTTTATGTGAGACAACATTCCCTTAATGTGTTGCAAAGCTTCAATGATTTGGAAAGATTTCCACTTGAATTTTGTTAAAAAATTGCTATTAGTCCTGACCGCAAAAAATAGTTTTAATCAATGACACAAAAAATATCCTTTCTTTTTTTTTTTTTTAAATTTGTACATGTATTTTACCTTTGCTTCAAACACAAACTATGAATGTGGTGGAGCATATTGTTGTTAAGTGCTGGTGAGTCAGTTCCGATCCAAGAGTGACCCTGTATGGGGTTTCTGAGGAGCAACTGGTGACCTTGAACTGCTGACCTTATGGTTCAAACTGACTTTGCAATCCAGCACATTAACCCACAGTGCTACACCAGGACTCCATGGTGGAGCATACAGCGGGGAAAATGATGAAACTTTCTTAGATACTATCAAACATCTTAAGGCAATGAACTGCTGGGCCTGGGTGGTTCAGGACCATAATCTCAGGGGACACCATGGTCAACTGATATAACACAGTCCATAAAGACAGTACTGCACATCCTACTTTAGTAAGTAGCTTCTCGGATCTGAAGACCTTCTGTGTGGCCATCTAAGTTGCAACTACAGTCTCTCCATGTGCTAACGAAAGAAGAGGCTTGGATTCAATTAGTCCAATAGAATTAGAAGACTGCAGATAAAGTGGGAGAAAATGTGGAACAAAACTCACAATTATTTAAAAAAAGCCCAGGGTTACTGGTCAGAAAGAGACTAGAGGAACCCAAGACTATGGTTCTTGACCACCCTTCAGGTCTGGAGAGGAACTCACCCTCATGGTCCACTCTTCAGCCCAGCAGTAGATAGGTATAGAGAGAGAGGGGACAATGACACTACACTACTAAGGCATGCTCACTAGGGAATGGTCAGTCATTCTGAATCAACAGGACAACATTTACTTAAGGACGAAGTTGAGAAGGAATGGGAAGGTGGATAGAATTGAAATAGCAACCACAGGGGGGGGAATGGGGTAACTGTTGTTGAATGGAGGGAATTGTAATCAATGAGATAAAAAAAAAAGTGTTTGATGCATTGAATGTAAAACTGATGATCTTGTCTGTTGTAAACCTTCACTGAATTCACAATATATACATTTTTTCTAAACCTGTTTTTTAGGGCATCCTACAGAGATTAAGGAGTCCTGGTATGGCGCTGTGGGTTAATGTGCCAGACTACAAAGCCGTTTGAACGGCAAGGTCGGCGGTTCAAGCTCATCAGCCACTCCTAGGAAACCCTATACAGGGTCATTATGGATCAGGATTGACAACTCGACGGCACTTAACAACAACCACAACAACAACAGAGATTAAGGAGTCCTGGTGTGTCTCTGTGGGTTAATGTGCCAGACTGCAAAGCTGACTGAACTGCAAGGTTGGCAGTTCAAGCACACCAGCTGCTCCTCAGAAACCCTATATAGGATTCGCTAGGATCAGAACCGACTCAATGTCACTTAACAACAACAAAAATGGAGATTAAGGAGTCCTGGTGTGGCACTGTGGGCTAATGCACTGGACTGCAAAGTCAGTTTGAACCTCAAGGTTGGAGGTTCAAGTAAACCAGCTGCTCCTCAGAGACCCTATGGGTCAGAACCGACTCAACTGCACTTCACAAAAGAACAACAAGAAGGAGATTGAAGTAGTCCTAGTGTGGCACTATAGGATCAGCACTGGCCAGCAAACCACAAGGCTGGCAGTTCACACTACCAGGTGCTTCTGGGAAACCCTATACAGGGTCGCTATGAGTCGGAACCCACTCGATGGCATTTTAACAACAACAACAAAGAGATTAAAACCAAACCTACTGCCACTGAGTTGATTCCAAGTCAGAGCAGCCCAATACAGGGTTTCTCAGACTTTCAATCTTGATGGGAACAGATAGTTCATCTTTCTCCATGAAGCAGGTGGTAGGTTGAATTGCTGCCCTTGAGGTTAGCTTCCCAATGCCTAACCCGCACGTTACCAGAGGTAAGGCATGTATTACTGAGAGAACTTGTCTGCAGCCATCCACTGAATTGAAGAGACAGATTTAAATACATTCTGTTTGGAACCAGACCCTAGTAACAATACTTTTTGACTTAACCTCATATAAACTGCCAAAACAAAAACAACAGCAAATGTTCCTCTGTGGGGTTCTGGTGTGGCGCTACAGGATAAGCCCTGCACTGCTAACCTCAAGAACAGTGGTTCAAACCCACAAGCTACTCCTTGGAAACCTGATGCAGGGTCACTATGAGTCAGAACTGGCTCGACAGCATTTAACATATTCTTATGCATTCTTAAATGTTGATGAGTATGGCTTTTATGTACATATAAGGACTATCAAAATCATATGTAAAACTTTTTTTTTGATGAGCATCTATTCAGGATCTAGGCATTCACCAGAATATCTGCATAAATCTCTGATTAGAGAATCTTGGTTTTAACACCAAAAAAAGAACCCAGTTATAGGATGCTGAGGTACTGAAACTATAAATCCCCAGTGCTGCAGTTTCCCCATGTTGATGTGTCTGTGTGCCGTGGAGTCAGTTCTGACTCATAGCGACCCTGTAGAGGGTTTCCGAGCCCGTCAATCTTTATGAGAGCAGAAAGCCTCATCTTAAGACCAGCAGTCCACCTCACAACACACTACTACTGGGGCTCCTTCAATTCTCCTCTAGAAGGTATCCTAGAAACAGAGGTGGGCATGGCCTCCAGGACGCAAACAGAAATGTTTTAATCCTAGGCAAACACATGCCTTCCTACCTCAGCTCCAAGTCTGTAACTGGTCAGTCTCCCAGGGACATATGTGACACTGAAACATCTGAATTACTCAAAATCACCAGGACCACACAATGGATTATTCAGCAATAAAAAGAGATGTCACATTTATGCGTGCCTGAATGGACCTCGACATCATTATGCTAAGGAAAAGAAGGCCATCTATATGAAATGTCCAGGAAAAGCATATCTACAGAGTAGAAAGTGGTAAAGTTGGGACAGGGACTACAAATATAAAAGGGCACCAGAGAACTAATTAGATGGTAATATTCAAATTGATCTGTTTTAGATGGTTGCAAAACTCACCAAATTTAGTATAAATCAATGTAATCTACAATTAAAATAAATAAACGTTATGGCGTATAAATAGTTGTTGTTGTTAAATGCTGTCGAGTCGGTTCCAACCCATAGAGACCCTGTATAGGGTTTCCAGGGAGCAGCTGGTGAGTTTGAACCGCCGACCTTGCCGTTCAAACGACTTTGCATTGCAGTGTAGCGCAGCAACCCAAGTGCCACACCAGGACTCCATATAAATACTTACATTTAAAAAAAGGCCAAGAACGATAGCTCAGAGAAGCTACAGCTCTCCACTTACCATGACTACTGAAATGCTGTCAGTCAGGGCACCTCCTCCTTCTGCAACTCAGTGGCCAGTTTTTTTACAACCAAATTACATGAAACAGTGGGGGAAATGTTATTGCTAGGTGCCGGAGAGTCGGTTCTGACTCACACTGTTTCTATGTACCATGGCATGCAACACTACCAAGGAAACAGTACTAAGTGCCAGTCATAAACTGCTACGTGATCGTTAGCATTTCGTGATTCCTTGATGAAAACATCTATATCAAACAAGAATAGAGTCACTCACAGAAGCCTCAAGACCGCTGGTAACTGTCTTCGCAAGTGGAGCCCTGGTGTGGGGCTGGACGATATGCACTGGGCTGCTAACTACATGGTTAACAGTTCAAACGAACCAGCTGCTCCTTAAAAACCCTACACAGGGTTGCTATGAGTTGGTACCGACTCAGCAGCATTTAACAACAACAACACGTTCTAAATTACTGATGTCTGTTTTTAGATAATGGTTTCTATGCATTTGAGATATACACACCAACATTATTTTTATATTTTTTAGAGTCTGCCCCTTTATTCCTCCTTCTGAGTGAGTTGTGATGTGTGAAGTATCACAGCAAGAACAGAGAAATCTCATCTAATCCCCTAGATTTATAGGTGTGGAAATTAAGGTAGGAACAAAGGAGAAAAGATTAAAACTGCAATATTTGGTCACTGATGAAAAGAAGGAAAGAAAAAAGTGACTTACTGAAATCAGTGTGAACAACATAGAGGCCTGAAACAAACAAACGGAGCACCTCTGTAGTTACCAATGTTAGTCCAGTTGTCTATAAGAGAAGTGGTTTAAACAGTCTTCATAGTTTCTAACAAATGCTCCCCATCAGAATCACTCTTCGCCTGGCTGATATTCCAGGCAGGCTTACAACATTCAGTACTGGCAGCTCTCCCAACCAACCAGGCCAGGTCTGGTGCGAAGCAATGGTGAGACTCCCCCTGGCTGTATGCGTGTTAGTGAGGGAGACCCTCTTCAAGACCAGACACAGATTCTCTGCTCCTCTGTAGGCACAGATTACACAACTTTTTTTTTAAAGGAAAGAAACCCTACAGCAGTTTTGGTGGACCAGTAGATAGTATTTTCATGTCTAAGAACACCAATTAGCTGCTTTGGTGTTCAAACTTTATAAACCCACACACAAAATAAGTGATATCAAATAATTATACACACAAAATAAGTGACACCAAATAATCACACAACCGAAACAATATTTGGCTTACTGCACACTTATAAGATTTATAATGGACTGAGCAGAAATGCACATCTTCAATGCATATGCCAAGGATTTGGATGTGCGGTCTCCGCAACATACCTATCATGCCTACTTTTCTTGGCAGATAAATCATCTCCAGATGCAGGTCTTCTCTTTTTCCTTGGTGGCATCACTTTACTAAAGCAGTCTGAAGAACTGCAAGACCGCAGGCTTCCTAAAAAGCAAACAGTCAGAGAGTACAAAATTAAGGTACACGCACTCACGCACTTACAAAGAATTAAACTGAAAAACATTCACAGCTTTGTATTAGGAAGGGATTTGATATTACCTATAAATTCTATACAGTGAGGAAATGGCTTTCAGGTCTTCTTCGAGAAAAAGTTATAGTCAAGAAATAAACCTACCAAAAACACAGTGTAATACTTTTACCCCCAAAATCACACCAGGAAGTACAATTTAATTATCAAAAATACTAATATAATAAATCATCTATGCTTTCAGCTTCTCTGGCACGTCCGTGTTCCTTTAAAAGGAACTGCACTGCTATCTCACTTCTCCACTCCTGGCACTGGCCAGCTGAACCAGTAACCTGGAGTCAAAAATACACACATGGATTCAGATGCAACACTGTTAAACTTTAAGGGATAGCTGATGAAAAACAAAACTTGGATTATGGGGGCAGAGGTCTTATGTGATCCTGAACAAAATTTCCCTAATACTTTCCGTCAGGGTTTTCCAAAGAGTAACGGTCATTTGGCAAAAGTTATTAAACTGTAATTACAGACAAGTACAGCAATACTGAACATGTTTTGAGATGTTATAGTGAACCGGGCGCTGTTCTGAACCCTGGCATGTGTTAATTCATTTAGCCTCCTAACAAGCCTGTGGGGAAACAAACCATCATCATTACTGCCTTTTACTGAAGAAAAAATGGAGGCAAAGAGGTAAGATGAATAAACGTGGGATTCAAATCCAGGCAGTCTATTTCAGAGTCTTTTGCACATTACAAAACAATCATCAGAATAGCTTAAATGTCCCATCACAGTACAGATGCTGTTGGGTACCACTGGTTGCTAATATAACACTGAACAGCAGACAGGGTAGAGATACTACCTCTACTTTGCTCCCATTTACACACACTCCTGTCTAAGTTTCCAGGATCTCAGAGGTGTAAATGGTGAGCCGTGGTAAGTGGGCTCTCCTTTCCCAGGCCCACTGCTGAAGACCCGGGACTCTCAATCCAGGGCAGTGTCAGGGTGCTGAGTTTCATTGATCTGCATCTGAGCTGCAGCTCTTCCGCTACTTAGCTGAGCCCGTCACTGGTCTAGCTTGGGCCTCCAGTTCATTATCAAAAGATTCTGATGAGGGAAAAAACAACCATTCAGTAAGTGCTTAGGGGGCAAGTACTGTATTGAGACGAAGATCTAAGGATACAAAAGACATCCTCCCAGTGTCATAATAGAGATATACATGCTGTGCTCACACTTGACCTTCAGGCCCATTCAATCTCACCACAAGCCTGTAATGCAAGTATTGCTAGGATCCTCGTTGTAGAAACGAGAAAACTGAAGCAGAGAAAAATTAAGTAACGGCTGGAAAGTAGCACACGAAGCCAAGATTCCAAACGAAGCAACCCTAGCAGCCAATGTACTCCGAGCTGAGGCCATGGAACTGTACTTAGACTAAGGAGCAGAAAAGTAGGACAGAGCCCTCTGAAGAATAAATAATCAAGGGGCTGGGAAAAGAAGGTAAAAATCTGGATAGGAACAGAACCCAGGAGACGGTGATGTGCCAGAAGCCGCGGAGGAGAGTCTAGCTAACTGCAACGAACACTGCACTGAAGTCAGTAAGGAGCGAAAGCACACTGGACTTTGCAGAGCAGGGTCAGTGGGTCAGCGGGGCTGGGATCCAGATTGAGCTAAGCTGGGGATCAGGTGTGAGGTGAGGAAGTGGACAGTGAATGTGGCCAGCTCACTCAGGAAACCAGCTCTAAAACAAGGCAGAGAGCTGTCAGTAGCTAGTTGTGACCCTGGAAAGAGCAGTGATCAGGACGAGAACCCAAATCCCAATTCACATTTAGCCTCTGCCACTGGCCAGGGAGATATGCTTCCAGAACGTGCCAGTCAAAAGCCCCCTCTCCATTATTAACCCCCACTCATCTGTCAGTTTGTCATACTGAGCTGGCTTGTTTGTTGCTGTGATGTTGGAAGCAGTGCCATTGGAGTTTCAAATCCCAGCAGGGTTACCCACTGTAGACAGGTTTCACTGGCGAAGAACAGACTAGGAAGAAGAAATAGGCCATCCACTGCCAAGAAATTAACTACTGAAAACCTTACAGAAAGCAGAAAGCATTGTCTGATTTAGTGTTGGAATAAGAGGCTCTCAGGCTGGGAAGCACTCAAACTACAAGTGAACAAGAGCTGCCTCCTCAAAGCAGAGTTGACCTTAATGACAAAGATAGCTTTGGGAACCTTCATTTGCCGGTGGGGCACAACTCAAAATGTGAAGACACAGTTGCCAACATCCATAAATAGTTGGAACATGGAATATACAAAGTGTGGATCTAGGGAAATGGAAATGGAATGCATAAAGATCAATATCCTAGACACTGTTTTTGTTGTTAAATACCATCAGTGGTTCAAGCCCAGCAGCTGCTCCTTGGAAATCCTATATAGGGTTGCTATGCATTGGAACCGACTCAACAGCACTTAACTGCAACTACAACAAGTGAGTATCACTATTATTCAAATACATGCACCAACCACTAAAGCCAATAACAAAGAAACGAAGAATTCTACCAACTTCTTCAGTTTGAAATTGATTAAACATGCAATTAAGATACATTGACAGTTACTGGAAATTGGAATGGGAAAATTGGAAACAAAAAGAAAGGATCAGTAGTTGGAAAATGTGGCGTTGACAATAGAAATGATGCTGGCAATAACATGATACAATTTTGCAAAACCAGTGATTGCTTTACTGCAAATACTGTTTTTCAAGACATCTGAAATAGTTACTATACACGTGGGCCTCACTAGATGGGATACAAAAACTTTTTTGTTGTTAAGTGCTGTAGAGTCAGCTCAGATTCATGGCAACCCTGTATAAAAGGAGCAGTTGATGAGCTTGAACCACCAACCTTGCAGTTCAAACCAACCTTATAGTCGAGCACATTAGCCCACAGCACCACACCAGGCTCCACAAAGAAATTTAAGTTGACTATAGAGCTCTGGTAGCGTAGTGGTTACGAATCGGGCTGTGAACCGCAAGGTCAGCAGTTCGAAACTACCAGCGGTTCCGCGGGAGAAAGATGAGGCATTCTGCTCCCGTAAAGATTAACAGCCTCGGAAACCCTGTGCAGGGTCGCTATGAGTCGGAACCGACTCCACGGCACATAACAACAACAACAACATATCTGTGGGAAGAGACAATGACAAAACAAGACCAGGAGCCAAGTGCATAACAGATTATCAACTGCCCATATGCAAATGCAGGCTGAAGCTGAAGGAAATGAAAACAAATATAGGAGAGCCAAAACACGACCCTGCGCACATCCCACCTGAATTAGAGACTATTACAAAAACGAATTTGACTGAACGCTAATGACTGATGCATTGAGCACTAATGAATGTGGGATGACATCAAGAACATCATACTTGAAGAAAAAAGGATTAAAAAGACAGGAAAAGATTAAAGTGGATGCTAAAGAGATTCTGAAACTTGCTCTTGGATGTAGAGCAGCTAAGGCTAATGGGAAAAAAAATGAGAATGTAAAAGAGATGACCAGAAATTTTCCAAAAATAGCTTGAGGATACAAAATAAAGTATTATAGCGAGATGTGTAAAGACCTGGAGTTAGAAAACCAAAATGGAAGAACATACTCAGCATTTTCAAGCTGAAAGAACTGGGGAGAAAAAAAAGAAACAATCCTTGGCTTGAGATATTGAAAGAGTCTATGGGCAACTGAATGATGCAGAAAACATTAAAGAATGATGGAAGGAATGCACAGACTCACTACCTGAAAGAACTGATCAAGGTAGTATGATCAAGAACTGACTGGATAGGAATGAGGAACCCCAGCGCTTTCGGAGCCATTTTCGAGTGATGCCTGATCTCATCAATCTAGCCGGAGACAAGGGATAACCTATCCGAGAGGACAGGGCCACTAGGACATCACCAAAAAAATCCTTTAAAAAACATCAAAAATTACTTATAGCAAAGGGCAGTCCAAGGAGTTTCAGGAAAAGGCAGTCTGTGAAAGTATATTTGCTGCTTTCCTGCCCGAAAAGTCTCTACCTAGGCAACTTCACAGTTTTGACCTTTAGGAAGGAGCCAATTCTGGAGAAGAACACGCTGACTTCTTTAACTGAATACTCACATTATGTATTGAAGCACAACAGAAGATTAAGGTTTCTTTTGATTTCGGCCTTGAAAATGTGATGGATTTATTTGATTTTCTTTATATTCTGTAGTTAACTTCAGAATAAATATTGCCATCTCTTCCATCATGGAAAGAGTTTTATTCTAAGTGTTATTTTTTCCTTTAATATTAAAAAAAGAGAGAAATTACTGTCCTGAACTTTTCAGATAGTTTTTTTATATCTAGTATATATATAGACTGGTCACTTGCCATATCTGGAAGAAGAAATAGGAAACCATCATTAATTTATGTCTACCTGGTCAGCGGTTCGAAACTACCAGCTGCTCCGCGGGAGAAAGATGAGGCTTTCTACTCCCGTAAGGATTTACACCCTCGGAAACCCTGTACAGGGTCGCTATGGGTCAGAACCGACTCGACGGCACACAACAACAACAACAACAACAACAACTAAAAAGTGTTTTACTCTTGTCAAGCGTTTTCTTACAACTTCTATAGTATACTTAAAAGCATGAGCTCTTTAAACGGAGAAATGACTTTTCCACCAGTGATTTAAGAATATTTTCTTTTCTTGTCTGTATATAACAGGTTTTCTCCTTGTTTGTTTATAAAATGTCTTCCAGGTGTTTCTAATATTGTTTGTTTCTTGTTATATGCAATGAAAACAAAATTTACAAATAAATTTAAACTTTTCATGTTAAAAAAAAAAAAAAAGAAGAACTTGTGTTGTGTTACAGGAAGAAGTCTAAGATGCACTGACAGGCCTTAACAAAAAACAAGACTCCAGGAATTGATGAAACATCATTTAAAATGTTTCAACAAACTAAGGCAATGCT